ACTTACAGTGCAGAAAAATATTATTTTTTATTTTAATATAATAACCATCAGGTAGTCAGCCAAGTCATAGTATGCATAGCATATACTAATATTATTTACACTATGGCTTGGCTAAATACTTGATGAAAATGTGTGAAAGGGAATATTATGAGTCAATCTGAATGGGTCTGATGTGTCAGATGAAATGTATAACGGTGTTGTTATCTGTTCTTTCATAGACCAATACATGTAGGAACCTGTTTTAGAGGAGGGAGGATTGTAGCATGAGCAGGTGGTGGCTTGCTATATATGATTGTGTGGCATGGCTTATGGGTCAGGTAGGTCGGCCTTAGAATTTTGCTTAGAGCCCCAGGGAGGCTAGCACAGGATCTAGTAGTAGATATTGTGCATTTAAACGCTGACATGTTTTCCACTTTACCACTTTTGAAGTGGTTGTTTCCTAGATCAGCATAGCTGAACTAATTCCAAATTTGATAGATTTTGAAATTCCTCCAAATATTGAAATATTTACTGAGGAAAGAGACAGCAGTTTCCAGAGAACCAGAGCCTGTCCTGCCAGTGATTGAGCATAAATTAACTTTGTGCAAGTGGAGATGGGATTCATTTGCAGGCCCAAGGGTTATGATTAGATTGAGTGTCTGCAGTGTAAACAATTTGCACTTTAAAACCCTCTTGGCCACCACCTGATTCACACGCATAACACTCTCACAAACAGAGAACGAACACAGTTCTATGTCGACACTTTTAAGTCACTCTCGGCAGATCCATGGTAACCACTTGTTGAAGCCTCACTGCTTGTTGCTAGGTGATGGGATGTACTGGACCAGAAAATCCTTCTATTGACACTCCCTCCACCCCCTTCTCCACACACCCCTATCCCATCCCTACCCTCCCATGAACCACAGCCAAAACAGCCCACTTATATGCTCTAACTTCCGCTGTTTTTGGGGAAAGAAATTTTTCTTTGGTTACTTCTACACATTTTACATATATTCATATTGAAGTATTATCTAAGTATGTATGTAGAAATGCTTTACAGCAATACCAAATGAGTTGTTCCCATGTTACATAGATACACCCCAGGTTTCTAAAGAAACTTACCCTTTGTTTAAATGATTTAATAAGTGCTTTGGGATATTTCCAAAGGTGCTTATAACAGACAGGTTCAAAATGCATCTGTAGTCATTTATGGGGTATGGTACCCTACAATTTATCTATGATTTTATCATTTATCTGTAATAGCCTATCACTACAAATTTCTATACACAATTGACCATTGTAACCACACATTGTACACAACTGACAATTACAAGTGGGACAAAAAAAAACGTAGTTACAAGCAAACATCTTTATCACGTTGAGGAGGAACCTGCATGTTTCATAATTATTAGGCCTTCTACAATAATTAAAATCATAATACAGCTTAAATGTAGACCATCACCTAAGAATTACAGAGATATGTGCTATTGGAGAAGTCTGAGAAATGGGAAAGGTTTTTATTGAATAACTTGCATCTGCTCTCCCTACTCTTCCCCCTCCTCCTGTTGATCCTGGGTGCCCTCATCTTTTCCCCTCCCCTCTTCTTCTCTTTCTCGCCCTCCTATCCCCTCCCATTACTGACCGATTAGCCGGTGCGAGGTTCTCCCCAATTTCCATGAGAAAGGCAATGGTCGGTGAAAGGGTTAAGCCTGAGGACGAAGCCCCAAAAAGCAGCCCCAATTTTCTGCTTGGTGGGGGAGAGAGGAAAGGGGGGAGAGGGAACAAAGACACCCAAGGGAGGAGCGGAGACTCCTGCTTTACTATATGCACCTGCGGCCTGAAAAGCCATGGACAATGCGCCTCTGAAGCAGCCAATTACGAGTGGGCCATCCACCCGCTTTTTTTACAGAGAGACGTGGGGGAGGGGGGGAGGGCTGTGAAAAGGAGGAGGTAGGGAATGGGGAAAGTGAATTTTAGAAGAGGGTAAAGATAAGAAAGTAAATAATAGAGCTTTAAATTATTCTGGGCACTATAGATTACTGCCTCCCATTCACCCCAAAACATCACATGGTCCTACCCCCAGAAGACACCCATGTTCTTCCACTAAAGTTCACTTTTGTCTAACGTTTTATTCAGAGCCTCAGACAGAGGTGATGATTTTGCCTGTGAAGACGCAATGAAAGTGGGGGAGAAAAAAAATCTAACTGCTGGCATACCAATCTTGTTTTTTAATGACTTAGATGGATGAGGTAATGTTTGAAGCAACAGCTGAGAAACACCAGAACTAGTGACCATTCAAATGAAAGGAGGAGGCATTATTAGTGATTAGTAATCCAACTACTTAGAAACATTCATTAATAATAAACATACACATAAATTAACTGTGAAAAGTAATGTCAGGGAATTGTGTGGCCTATTCCATGTAATATTTCGTATGTGTGTATGGATAAATATGAACCATAGAGAATTTGCAAGTATTCAAATACATACTTGGCCTAAATTAAAACTATTTGGCAAATCAGCCTTTTCTGTTTAAATTTTTGAAATGACCTTTCCTGCCATTACAGACTGACACAGATTTCCATTAACTTCTGAGAGACATGCAAATATGTGAAAAGAAAACTTGACTGAATATTGTAAACACTCTGCAAACATTGTCTGCATTGTTTTTGTCAGGGTTACCTTAACTTTAACATGCATCATTAATAAAAATTGTTTACTGTGATGATTTAAACATCTGCAGCAAATGCTTAAGTGATTTTAATATCAGAGTTTAAAGCAATAATCATCGGGAAAGCAGGAAAGACAAGGAGTATGGCGTAATTTTGCAGTGGTGTAAATGGCAATTGTATTTTTTTAAGCATTTTTTTTTGCTCTGCTCCATAGATGAAAACTTACAAGTCTCTGATATGGTTTAATATTTCTAGCCTGCCAAGGATTACATACACTCAATGGATACATAGAATACAGATATTGGTTAATTTAGTGCTGATTCATAGCATGCCATTATACTTTTCATCTTACAACAAAGCAACATTTAACATGACTTCATTAATGAAAAAGGATTTGTACTTTATTAATATTGTCATAAATGCCATAACAAAAACAATTTAATCAAAAAAGGAATCAAGACTCTTAGTATAAGAGCCAAAAAATATATATACACATCATTTACATGAATGCTACTTACAGTAACTCTACATGGCAGCATTTACATACAAGAAAATTCATTCTAAAAATGAGTCAGGATGAAAGTAACATTTTCAAAAACTTGGGTAGCAATGTAAACATTCACACATTACTTTCAGACAACTGCTTACCTTAAAAAACAAAACAAAAACAAAATAAAACAAGTCAGGCATCAGTTTCCAGTGCATGTTTAATTAGCAGTCGAATGCTTAAAACTAAAAATCTGTCGCAATCTTTCAAATTCAATATTTAGTTTACATAGCCTAAAAGTAAAAGTTCTCTTTATGTCTATAGCAGCACTAGTAACCAGTCAGCAGGCTAGGCAAAAACAGACAACAGTACTGTCAGCTGGAGAGAACCAGAATTATAAACATCCATTGTATTTTAAAACTACAGAACTACCTACAGGTTACGTTATTGGAAAAGCCCAGACAAGAGGAAGAGATTTGCTGAAACAGACGTTCCCTCCTTACTGGTGACAAAAACAAACAACTGACAGTCATATATATATATATATATATATGCTTGGAAGGTCTGTTGTAAATCCAGTATGCCTGGAGAAAGCAAAAACTTGCAAGTCACAATGTGCTGCATTTGGAAGTAAACAACTTGAATGTCGCATTTCATATTAAATTTCATTCACTTAATGAAAAGTCAGAAAACAATATAGCTCCTGCCTAGAGCAAAGTGACAGTAGATGCACAATGCAACTCAAGATACTACCAGAGCACTGCATTTAAACATTTTAGGTGAGATCTAAAACTAATTATACAAATTAAACTCCTTCGGGCACCAAAAACAGTGTTGCACATCTTCTCAGAACCAAAAAAAATGTAATACAGTGATTTGGTGTGACAGAGGGTAGTAATCCTACTGCATGTAGAACCAAGCTAGTAATAGATTCTAAGCAACAGCAGACTGAAGCCAATATGTTCTGTTCAATTCCTGTGGATGCAGTGCTGATTGTCCAACAAATGTTTTCCATGTCATCCAACAGGATTTCAACAGTAAAAAGAAAATAAAAGATAAAAAAAATCTAAAAATACAACAGTTCTATACTAAAGCCAAGGCACAGAGTATATTTCAACAGTTCTGTTATTCAACTTGTGCATTTCCTTCACGTTTTCCCCAAGCACCAGCTCTGCTCACATATCAGAACAACAACAGATAACCAATTACCAGAACACTTCAGCTCAGGTAACTTAGCTGTCACCAACTGAGTTGTGGTTCCTTCACCAGGTTATTCATCACTCTGAAGTAGTTTTGTGTAGCAGGGACTAGCTCCAAGGTCAAACAGTGAAAGACTAAACTCAAATTTGACCAGTCCAACCAGCACATTGTGGAACTGTCATGAGTTCCATTGTCACAAGTGTTTAGAGTGGTATTAAGAAGTCCTCCAACTGTTGTTTAGGTTCTAAAAATATTTTTAAAAACAAAACAAACAAAAAAAATCTAATATGTACACAAACAGACACACCCCTCTCTTCACTGCAGTCCTTGAGGGAGAGAAGGGTGGTAGGCAGAGGGAGGAGTCTCAGTTCTATAAGTTTGGTGGTAAATGTGTGTAGCACCAAAGAGGTAGAAAGACATCCTTTCAATGATAGAAAAAATAAATCTGATAAGTGTCTGTCTGCAACTGTGGAAAAATTTGAAAGTGTAAGATGACAGAATACAAGGGAAAATGTGTTTTTCCTTTATATCTTGTGTCTCTTTTCATTGCCCACCTAGAGTACTCCACATCTGATTCCATCTCCTGTCCAGCCAGCCACACACCATGAACACTGGTTCTCTTTTTGTGTTCATCTCCCACCCCCATGATTCCCAGTTCAGTTCTAGATGTGTGTGAGTGGAACAGTTCCAGTGAGGTAGTGCTGCTGGACACTGGTATAGCCTCTCTGTGCTGTCGATGGGTCGGTGGCCTCCCCTCCTGGTCCAGGAATGTACATGCTGATCATGTCCCTGAGGTCACCCTGCAAAGCTCCACGGTGGTGGCTTGGTGTCCCCGTTGGAGGCGAGTGGGATACTGGTTCTGCTTTCACCATGGACATGGTGACAGAGCTTGGCTGCTGTGGACTGCTGCTGTATGACATAGGGCTATGAGATCAAGAAAATGGCACAAGTTAAACCCACGTTCACATGCCAATCTTTGGATTCATTTTAAGCATTTGCACAGGTTAACATACAAAAACTAACAGAATGATGTGCTATAGGGTTTCTTTCAGTGCTGTTGTCAGGTTTAGAAAACCATGTTTCTTGATAAAGCAAAAAAAAAAAAAAGGAAAAATGTATAAAAGGCCACTTTCTCATTCCACTGCAGGAAGAGAACATGCTATGCATGATGGATCTGTTAAGACAGCTGTTAAATACCTGATATTCTTAGTGACTTTATCTTATGTTTAAAAAAAACAAAACAACAATAAAGTGGAAGACAATAGCTAGCTAACTCACATTAAAACCCAACTTTCACATTGCCATTGCCTTACATGGAAAATGTAAGAAGATTCCACTATTCAGCTACATTTAGTTCATACACAGATTAACATTTGCTAATACAACTTTCATTTATACACGATTGATAATGGTGTTTGGGACTTCGGAATGACTTCTTTTAATTTTGTCACTTAAGCACATTATACTCTGCATTTATACTTGTAAAATCATGAATAAGGTATTTGTGATAAGTTATTTTTAGATGGTGGTGTTTGTGCTTTCACTCAGGTAAAAGGTTTGAATACTAATACTAACTAGCCAACTCAGCCAAAAACAGCAACTAGTCTTGTACAACAGGCAATGAGAAAAGTCAGTGTAAATGAATGTTCAAACAATAGCAGATAAATAATAAGTAGCACCTACAAAGCAAGAATTAGGGTGATTAACTGCTGCATATTTGGTCTACACATCAATAATAGCCTAATTCACAATGCACTTTGTAACCTGTGGGCCAGGTAAGACAGGCAAAAGCATCTGAAGATATAGTTTTTGGCAAAATTTGTTTTTGATTACTGTTGCCTTCATTTGTTTTGATACTACTTCATGAGGTTTGATTTGGTTGTTATTGGAAGCAACATTTCTCAGTTTAAAAAAAACATTGTGATTCTAAATATGCACTCATTACATACATAAACTTGACAGCCTGCCATTATTTGTAGATCAACAAAAATATTTTTTTGTAAGGAACACAGTCATAGAGAGTCAGACTCACAATTCAAATAGTATTCTCAGGTGCTCAGTAAATGTAACTTATTTTATGCCACGGGCTATCTAATGAAGCTAACCTATTCTAGTTTTACAAAACAGTAAATGTATTTTGAGTGAAAATTCTAAATTTGCAAGCCATCAGGTTTTCTAAGTGTAAAAGTTGACAGGGGGTCAACTAATTAAAAAAATAAAAACATTCATTAGGAAAGCTTGAAAGGGTTCACCTACTGCAGAAAAAAGGTGCAAGAACTAAGATGCTTAACATGTTAAGACTGTAGTGAAGTCAGTCAGCAAAAATTTGGAAATCTTAAGCAAATCACACATTGAAATAAATTACACCATCATCCATCCTTGCACCAGAACATTGTGCAGACAGACTGTCATTTAGAGAAAGTAATACAAATGGCAAGAGCCAAGAACTCCCATGTAACTCAGGACAATAGTTTAGGAGAAATAGGGGATTATGGGTAGAAGACCACACACAGAGCAGGGTTTGCTTGCAATCATGTCATGCTGATCAGCATTCCAAGAAGAGCCCAGTCCATAACACAGCGTCACGCATAACAAGTAGGCAACAAAGTGAACCCTGTTGTTCCTGTAATGCAGAGTTCTTCGGGGATTCTATGGGACTCCGTGTACTCAAACATTTTTACCCGATTTAAGTCTCATTTTTAAGTTAGTTACTCACCTACGTCAGTTTTGTGTTAGCCATGTTCTTCGTATTTAGTTTGAATGTGCTAAGGTGTATTTTAGGCCATTTTCATAATTTGTTACGTTCTCATTTTCTACTGTAGTTCTCATTCATTCGACACGGACAACTGTCCAACTCTATTAAGACACTGTTAAACATCTCTACGTGTACAATAGTGATTGTATTTTTTCTAAATTAGCCTGATATAGCGGGCCGCATTTTCAATAATTGCACTGTGCGGTCTCAAATGGCATGATTAAAAAGGGCAATGCCCTTAATTGTACAAATGGATACAATTACAATACGTCCACATACTTTAACTCCATCTTAAGAGAATAGGCCTACTTTAATGTAGTTTCCAAACAGACACAACGCACCTGTATGAGTTTCCTCCGTTCATGTACGTCTGTGCTGCCGACATTGCAGGTGGGTACTGGAGAGCTGACAGGTCATAACGGTGTAGCTGCTGAGTGTAGCCGAGCGCCTCGCCCTGCATGCCGGCGTAGCCTCCACTGGGGCCCCAGCCATAGCTCTCCATCCTAGGACTACCAGCCTGACCTTGCGCAGCTGCCGCCAGTAGGTTTCCTGCTGACAGTGGATACTTTCCCACCTGAGTGTCTTTCTTGAGCAAGGGCTTTGTCTTGCGGCGTGGCTTGTACTTGTAATCGGGGTACTCCTTCATGTGGACTGCCCGGAGCCGCTTGGCCTCATCAATGAAGGGCCGTTTCTCAACGTCGGTCAGGAGTTTCCACTCAGCTCCCAGGCGCTTACTGATCTCAGAGTTGTGCATTTTGGGGTTTTCTTGAGCCATCTTGCGCCTCTGTCCTCTTGACCAGACCATGAAAGCGTTCATGGGTCGCTTGACTTTATCCATGGGATCGCTTCCTGGTGAACATGACGTTTTGGAGTTCGGGTGAGAATTTCCATTGCTGCCAATAGTCCCGGTCATGCTGCCGGTTACCGGTGACATTCCCTGGGAGGTATGATGAGAAGGGGGCTGGCCGGTCGGCTTCAGCTCGTGTTCCATCATGCTGTACATGTCGGACGGATGTAGTAAAGTTCAGATGAATTACAAAATAGTTTGAACCGTGAAACATGCACCCGCTTTTGTCGCCGTCCACCTGGCGACTTTTGGCCAGGTTTGCCCTCAGGTTTAACCCGGTGGTCCAAATTAGGTGGCCTAATCAGGCAACTCGAAACACCTGAGAGACAAAACAGATGGACCAGCAGTTTTTTCCCTTTCTGTCTTAGAATTATCAGTCTGTTGTGGCCGTCATTACTTTGATGCTACACTTGAGAGGCCTGTTCAAAATTCAGCAAATAGGCTACAAATGGAGCAGCTGCTTCTCCTCAGTGCTGTTCTTCGCGAAAAACCACTTGTTGTCAGACGGCCAGTTCACACACTGAACCCATCTGTCTCTTCACTCCGAAAGTTCCCCTATTTTCGTGAAGTCGGGCGTGAACCAATAGGAAAGCGAAAAGCTTCAGCCTGTGCGCGTCCATTTGCAACTGAAAAGACTCTGAGGGTGCGCGAGACACTTGTTGATGACGAAGTTAATGAGGAGTAGGCATTCCAGGGAGCTTGCTGATAAAATTGACTATATTTGAAAATAAGATTCTGTCAAGTTTATAACAGAAAGAAAATCTGTTTTGGACTCAAATAGGCCTATACAGGCAACAAATACACTAAGGCAAGAAATGTTTCCATTCCAGTGCATCACAGGTACACACATAGGCTATATTGAATATGAATCAAAGTGCTGACCAATGATAGGAGGCACATTTGTATTTGACCTTTTGTGTGTGACCATTATAGGGCAAGCAATAATTGTTCTGTAGATTAAGGAAAGACTGCTGTGCAATAACATGAATAAATGTTCCCACTTGAGGCCCTGAAGTTGCAATCAGGTGCCAGTTTTTAACAAAGACAGAGAATAAAACAGATAATTTTCCTGGTTCTTCTGTACTGATTTTGATCCATTTTAGCTGTTCTAGGTGAATCAAACAATGTCGCAGTACACTGATAAACTGGTCAAGTGTCTTTTACATTTAAGAGAAGAGAATAGAAGATATGCCGTTATTTATCTCGCAGTGGAGAAATTCACATTGTTGTCAGCAGCTTTACACATAGAGATACACACATACTCGACAGAAAAAATGTACATATAAATATAAGTATAAGTGCAACAAGTATAAAAGTGCACATAAAAGGAGAATAGTGCAAACGGAATATGAGAATGGGCTTCTGAATGGGGGTACATAGACAATATATATATATATATAAGAGGTAAGGAATAAATATATAATAACAATAATAATAATAATAATAATAATAATAATAATAATAATAATAAGTAGTGCAAATGCAAATCTATACATACATACATGATGTTCTAAATATGAGTATTGCTCTTTTGGTTTATTAACTAGGGGATATTGCATGTTGTGGGTCTACTGGGAGCATAGCTGGTTGTAGAGTCTCACAGCACTTCCCCCGTCACCAATCCACACCTGCATCAGAAACCTGTACCAAAATAAGCAGCCAATCACAGTCCATTTGGTGTTCATGTGGTATCCCAACAAGTCCCCCAAACAACAAAATATGACATTTGTCGATTGCCCTCTGCAACAAAACAGAGAAGCATTTTTCTTATCCTACACCCCTATAATTTCACATGTTTAACACTATTGAAAAAACTATAATGGGACAAATCCTATGGCAAAGCTTTTTAGGCACAAGAATGGCTTTGTTAGGTTTAGGGGAAAATTATAGTTTGTGTTCACATAAGTACTTTGTTAAGTTAGATAAACATTGTCGAATATATTATCAGTATAATGTTCTAGAGACTGGTAGTCTCTATAATATCATACTGAGAAAAAGTGTTGCAGCAATCAACATGTGGGATAAGAGAAATCGAAGTTACTGGATGCAACTCCATTTTGGTGAGTATGTGTTAATGTCCTTTGAGACTCTGCCTTGGCAGCCTGAGACAGGTCAAGTCTAAATAGGGCTGTAGTGTGTGGTTGCCACCTCCTGAATGTGTGGTAAGATCTGTCGTTGTGGGGAATGGAAGGGGTTTAAATAATAGCAAAGCTCATCAGAGATAAAATAAATTGTTGACTGTCTATTTAAACTAAACTTCCCACTACTTGTCTGCCAAATGCATGTGTTTTTGTGTACTTAAGCAAGTAAATGATTATGGATGATCGTTACCAACAAGTGCTTTTCTGTCTGAAAATGAAAATTTGATTTGTGTTGTAGATGTGTCTGTGTGACATCTTACACATGTGCATGTCAGAGTAGGTTTCCTTAGTCAGTTGGAGAGTGTTTTTGCAGATGTGTGTGTGCATTTTCAGGTGTGTGTTTGTGGCCATGTGCTTGTGACTAATTGAGAATTGTGAGGCTGCAGTCTGCCGTTTTCATCTCCATGACAACCTTTTGTGGAATCCCTTCCAAACTCTGCCCCTGGCTTTCCCCTCTTTCCAAAACTAACATCCCACACTCAGCTTTTCTTCATCTGTCTGTCTTCATCTATGGCTTCTGTGGGAGTGGAATGGCAGTTAAGTGTTTTAGTTCCATCTGTCCCTTCACACACTCTTACTTTATGATTGCCTGTGACCACATGTTGCATTTTGGTGTATTAGATTAGACACAGAAATGGTTAGCATATCAGTGTGTGTCCTCCATTCTTTCCTCCAAGAAGACTACATCTGCTTGTTTGTAAATACTGGGAGAGGTAAGGTGAAGACAGAAATTTTCTTTCACAGAACATGTGACTGTTGCAGATACCATGTTTGAAAAGGGCTTTAAAGGTTTTTAAACCTTTAGGCATGAGGGTGTGATGGAGTAGAACGGGTGGCATGGAGGGAGAGCTTACAGTGGCAACAGCACTTGAAGTTGAATGCTGTGAGAACATCACACAGCATTCAGCATCAAGGAGTTAAACCCAAACACCATGCAAAGTTCCTGCCGAGACAAATAAACTACATTAACCAGTTAGAGTGAAGTGACTTTGAGGTTGGTTGGGCTCACGCCACCTTAGGTAAGGTTTGAATCCTTTATTGCTGTTGGCAATAAAGGCATTCTGCATATGTATGGCATGTTAGTAGCTGGTATAGCCAAAATACTTGGTGATAATTAAATCAAATATACCTATTCACAAAGCTGTTTACCTGTAATACCTGTGCTGTTACCCATAACTAGAAAGCTTCCCTGGGATATTGAGTAGCAGTATTACAACAGACTGTTGTTTGCTAGAAATTATGTTTTGTTAAAAATGCTGCTACTTTACTTTTGTTCTAGATTAGAAAAGTGACTGTATGGGACTGGGGAACGCACCAAAGTTATATCCTGGTCAAAACTCCAATATACTGGAGCAGGAGTGGAGAGTTGAAACCTGGCATTCAGAATTTTAAATATATGTTGCTGATTGTGCTGGTAGTATGTTGTCCATGGCTTGTTAGAGGACTTGTTCATGCACTGCCTTTTCTTTGCTATAAAAGTATTTTAGAACTAAAAATGACTGCATAAGTAACAATTATCCACTGAAATGACATGCAGTAAAAACACAAATCGGGGTATCAAAAGATATAAATTATACACAGTGGTGTCCATCTCCGGTTCGTGTCCTGGTTAGGACGCCTGGGATCTTTCTGCGTAGAGTTTGCATGTTCTCCAAAATGCTTGACTATTTTTGTACAAGAGCCCCTATAAATGAGGATGGCTCCATGGTCTTTTCATCTTCAAGTAGTTCATGCAAAGCTTTGATGTGTGTTTGCGCTTATTATTGTGCTGCGTATGTGTCTATCCAGTAATGTGACAGTGTGCAGTTCAGACTTGTGTCATTTTGAAAGTGAAAAAGACATTTTGCTAGTTACTAGTTTTCTAAAAGGAACAGCAACTAAAGTGACATCTGCATTTAGATCTGTGGGAAACACATCGGTAAAGAGGGTCAGAAACTGTGGTCACCAGTTCACGTTTTGATGGCGATGTCATTGTATTAGTTATGTAGAGGAGAAACAGAAGAGCAATTCTTCCTCTGGTGACTGAGAATGTCCGTGTAGGATGTGATTAAAGCATCACCAAAAAACTGACTGTTGCAACAGTTGTGGAAAAAAGTGATATCATCAAATGAGCCATCCATTACCATATGCTTGACTAGTAGGAAAGTGTATGTGTGACCTACACAAAGAATATTAAGGCCTAAATGCTTGATGCCTACAGTGAGGACACCCAGTAGTTCTGTTATGCTGTGAGGGTGTGCTGGCATGGTTTGGTCCACTTGTATGCTTAGAGTGAGGATCTTTGCAAATCAATACCAATGTGTTCTGAGTGATAATCTTTTTTTCTGTGAAGAAACATTTAAATCCTGATTAGAATGATCTTTTCCAAGATGCTAATCCCCCCATTCATAAGGAACAATTGGTCACTGAATGGTTTAATGAGTATGAGAATTATGTGAATCATATGCCTTCACAGTCACCAGATCTTAAACCAAACCATTTGAATACTTATGGGAGATTTTGGACCGGCATGTTAGACAACACTCTCCACCATTAACATTAATGTGTCTTGCATTGTTTCAAAGAGTATTTGCAAAAAGTTAAGTCTTTCTAAACTTTGAGCTCAGCAGAGGATGGCTGCAAAGCACAATATGAAAGTAGGGTAGGTATAATTACACAAGCATATAGCAAGACAATGGCCAGGCACATGCAAGGGATGGTGAAATTTTACTATCTCAGAAAAGAAATCTGGAAGCTTTTTTGATATAACATTTAGCATTGTAAACGTTATGAGAAGAATATGGAGTTGACATCAAAATCACTTCTGTATTTTAATTTGGATCTGTGTCTAGTTTAATGGCCAAAAAGCTCAGCTTTTGTGTCATCCAACCAAAGAACTTTCGTCCAGTTGACTTAAGAATCTCTCACAAGCCTACTGGTGAACTGTAGTGAAGATTTAATGTGACCTTTCTTTCAGCAGGGGCTTTGTGTTGCCACTATCCCATAAAGCCTTGACTGGTGAAGAACCAGTTGTAT